TTAGCTTTCGGTAGTTGCATAAAACTGTGGGTCCCTCAATTTGTGTTACAACATCAAGACGCACACCACAAATTACAGCTCATAACAGCTATACATAACAATGACTTTGCCCAGAAACTGAACTGTGACTACAATTATTTTAATAAATTGTGCATTTTTTTTGTTAATACATAAAAGATAAATACGGTTCTATGTATTTTGAATTTTATGCACACTTAAAAAGGCAATATGGAGCTTATTCTTTGAAAAAATCGATTTAATTAATTTTAAAGTGAATCACCGGCTTCGGCCGAAAAATCTAGCCTCGGTCGGACTCTGGTCCTCAAACTGGCAATAAGTGACGTGCCCAGGGCATCAAAAAAAAAAAACTCAAAAGTCACAGTTCTATGCCTTCTATCCTATCTTATCCTTTCGGATAAGCCATTTAAGGTTTGAGGCATGCTAACGTGTCTGCTTAGTTAACGGAAGCATAACTTCCACACGAAGAAACTAGTTTGATTTGCACAAGGAGAATGCATGTGGGCATTTCATGTTAAGTGTCAGCCAATAGCAATGTTTTTTCACCTTCTTAACAAAGTGGTTTTCGCTTCTGCACCATATCCTTTTTTGCTTACTACTTTGTGCAATTTTCTATCATGAACTAGTTTGAATAATTGAAAATCATAATTTACTTTTTGCAAAAAATATCAACGGAATTATTTATCAAAATCCTGACTTCCTTCCGTCTTTCACTCAAATTTTCACACATCCGCATAACTTCCTATTTGAACGAAATTCGAGTCTCCGTCACTCACATACATTGTGTTGATTTTTTTGTGTTTTTTTGATACACTTACCATCTAAACGCTCCTGAAACTCGTAACTGTTGGTCATGGCCACTAACGCCAACATAACTAAGAGCAGGAATTTCATTTTGAATAACACTTTCGATTTAACACGTTTACCTCGAATTGTTTAAGGAAACTGAACAGCCTTTGTAAGTAGTGACTTGATTATATAGGCCGCAAACTTTTAATAAACGGATTTTCATCATTACTATTTGAAATAAAAAATAAAAATGCCGTTTGTTCATTGGCTAATTCTGTTAATCATTAACTTAAATGTGGGTAAAAAGGAGCTGATAAGGGGCATGCAAATACGAGTACGTATACGTATACATTTACCTATGTATTCAACTCATGTATTCTTTTCGAGAGCCTTGTGTAACACAATGCAACAAAAAGCAAAAAATTTCAAAACTCAGGAAACATTCAATGTACTGACTCACGAAACTATAGTAATACTGCGTTTTTAGTTTTTCTCAATCTCTAATGGACTGGGCTTTCGAAATTTCAAAAAAAATTATTGATTCTAAAAATTCATTCCACATCGAACAGGAAATTCTGTAGAATTAAAAAAAAAAAAAAAACAATTTTTTTTCTGGTTTTCAAGAACGAATAAGTATTGAAAATGCCTTTTTAATTTTTAATTTTTTTTATCCTAAACAAATCAAGTTAAAACACAAAATTCGACGATGCGGTTATACATATATTGTACTTAACATTTAAGTTTTTCAAAAATAAATATTCAGCCTCAATGCGTAAGTCGTAAATTAGGGTAAATTGTACGACTCGACAACATTGGCATTGTTTACTGTCGTGCTGAAATAAGTAAATGACGAAAATCGTCGAAAACTATACAGTGCTGCCAAGTTTTTCCGTTTTAATACACTAGTCGAATGGAAATTTTAGGCAATGACGTGCAATTTGCAATACGATTCGACTCTCGAAAAACGACTTGCATGCGACACCACTCTCGCAATGAGGGTGATTGAAAATTTTGAAAATGAATGTTAAGAGATATTAAAGCATAAAGTTTTAAAGAATATTTTAAATATCTATTTGTCCTTTTGCGCAAAAAATCAGTTTTGAATAATTTTCTAAATATTTTTTGAATTAATCATAACGTTGAAATTTAAAAGAACTTAAAAAATTCCGACGCCAGAGAGAAAAGCTAAACTCCCACTTTGACTTACTATATTTGTGTCCCCAGTTTCGCGAGTACATATTAATATTGATTTTTATGTGTTGAATTGACTGTCGCACGGTGTAATTATTGGCTCGATTTAGCTATTAATAGCATTATATTTTTTCATACTAAGGTCATAAAAGTCTGCACGTTTATCATATGCAGATAACCTTAACTAGTGTAATTTTTATGGGTTATCACGTGAAACTCGTGCGATACAGCGTATTTTCCATAGAAGTAGGTACATAGCGACTTTTTGTTGGAATGTTATGTGCTTAGAAACTGGATTAAAAGAGATTTTCTCTTTGATTTCAAAATACTCAGTATGTAGTCTCTAAATTCTCACTCTCCATGGCAAATGCGATTGTTCCAGCCTCGATATGTTTCGCGACACGATGTAGGGAGACTGCAGTACCGCTACTATGTTCTTGGCGAATTTGACAGAATCAGCTATTCGTGTGACGTAATTTTAGCGATATGTTTGTATGTACCCAATTTGTCAAACGACTTCGTAACGACGTCGTTTCTGACAGTTCGCCGGTGGGCCCTCGCCAAGGCACGTCTGAAGGCATCTATCTATACGAACTGACGGACGAAGTTCAGAGGTTCACAAAGCAACCTCTGAACCCGACGGCATATCTACAGGCCTTGAGCGCTATTCACAGGGAGTCGGTCGCAAGGTACGTTGACTCCAGACCTGTGAATGCCCTTCTGGGCACACATCCACCTGACGTGGAGGAGAAAGAGCTGCCTCGGGAAACTCGGACCACAATAGCCAAACTTCGCTCTGCAGCAGGTTGAACTCGTTCCTGATGATGATGAGTGCCCGGCATGAGGAGAGACTCCCCATGCTTCGAAACATATCATCGCATGCCCACTAAACCCCACTCAACTAACGCCTCTGTGGCTATGAACGGACCCTATAGAGGCTGCACGCTTCTTGGGACTCCCGTTAGTTGAGCTTGACGACAACGATTGAAGGACTAGCCGGTTTGGGCGGGAATATTGTAGCCGCTAGAACAACAGCAAAGTTCTTGAGAGCAAACAAAAAGCTGTCCGCACGCGAACGATGAATCCGCTTTAAGTATTCAGTGGAAGTCGGTGGTAAAGCCTTCGTGGTTAGCAATGAAAACGACTGTTGTATCATGGCGCGAAAGAGCTAACGCATACGTAGGACAGCAGTACGGTAAAATTATAAATTAAGAAATGTATGTAGCATTGCTATAGTTCATCGTTACTGTGCACCATCACACGAGAGGCACTAGGAACGATCCATCCAGCATCCACTGGCCCTCGCCAGTAATCTCACGCTAACCGAAAGCCACGGACAATCCACTAGTGCCTTCTGCGACTTTCACAATCAGTCTCATTGCAGGATTTTATGTAGAATGACCCTCAGTGTTTTACTTATACTTTGGACTCGTATGAAGAATAATACCCATGTCTATATGTCCTCGGTATAGCAATTTTGATCCCTTCATCATAAGGGTTCTCTTGAAAGTAAAGATACGCCGCAATGAAGGTATTGCGTCTGCAAACAAAAATCAGTTGTTCCTTATGGCCGCATACTTGGGGTTTACACAAGTCAATTTTGAAGATACAACAGCAAAATAGTCACACTTTTTTTACTAATATATTCCCACTTCTCTTGATGTATTCGTCACTGTCTTTGACTTTTCGAGGACAGTTTATTGTCTGGACGCCTACTTTACTCAAACAATGTGACCATTAATACATATTCTCAATTGTCATGCCTTGTGTAAACGCAGAGTTATACAACTGTCAGCAGTGACAGACTTACGTGCGTCAAAAGTTGAGTGTTGGCCAACGTTCGTTGGGTCCGTCGACGCACGGGTTGTCAATCTGACGGTCTCTATGCAAACACGCACAGTCTACTCAACTGTCAGTTTCATCGTATTTTTTTTTCTTTTATGTATGATACCGCAGACGTGGTCCAAACGTCAACCGGTTTCGATAATTTTTCTATCGGAAAGGTAGTGTCTCACAGGTGGTCCCATACTAATTTGGTTTAGGTCCGAACATTGGATCATGAAAAAATTAACGGTACTCCTTAATTTTTATATGAGAATTGAAGTCGGTTGTGTTCTTTCCTTAAAAATGACTTGTTATAGTTGCGGTTCGAATTTTATTATGAAGATTTTAATAAAAATAAAAAAAATGACAGAAAAAGCCACGAAGTCAGATCTAAATTTCTGAGGCTATAGCATAAAATTAAATGCTAAATCTAGCCTCGAAAAGGCTAACCTGGTCACTCTGATCGTCAGCACACCGGTAAAGTTCCAGAGCAAGAGAAGAGAACTTGTCTTTATGATTAGGCAGGTTAATTTTACTTACCATAAATAAGCTTTTTCTCTCAGTGAAAAAAGTGTTAAACGCTTAAAGCTTTCTACTTAACTTAAAAATGGAAAGCATACTATTGCAGATAAAGTTTTAGCTGTGAAAAAGCCTACGGCCCACAGAAACCACTACAAAACTCAGCATATATTCTTACAAATATTTATGAGATATGCACATTTATGTTAATTAGCAGTCCTAAATCAATCGAGCAGGGTACCATAACATACTTTTATAGCATTAAGTGGTTAATCAGTAAGTGTCTTTTAAATCATTTCTTCACTAATTTTATATGAGATTTTCCTTACGTCTGAATTGATTACTTTACTTAGAACCGATCGGGGTGTTTCATATATTGTTTGTACTTATTAGAATTTTTATAAAAAAAATTAAAACGTAAAAATCATTTTCTCTCACCCTACTCAACTTAAATCCTTCAGCACTTCGCTGAGCTAAATACTACTTTTACTTGTCCAGCGATTCACTGCTCACTTCTGTAAAGTTCCACAAAAAAAAAACTTGTATCGTCCCCCTTTACTATTTATATATCGTCTATTGCAATATTTTTGTCCGAAATGCACATTTTATTCCATTCTCAAAAATACGTCTTAGGTTAGCAACAAAGATCCAATCCAAAACCATTGGATTCAATCAATTAATATGATGGTGGAATGCATTCCTCCCTCTCTTCACCATTGCCAGTCACCAAACTAACCAAATCGGTTAGAGTCATTTCCGACAAAACGCTGTTCACTTTTGGCAAAGCAATCGACTCGATGGTATCAGCAATCTCGTCTTCATTCTCATTCACGCCAACTTGCAACAACTCAGCCAAGGCTCCGTTAAACTGCTGATTGATGCCGGCCTCACCCAGAACACCCTGAATATCAGATTCCACATCACCGATATGCGTGCGAATGCTCAACGTTTTCAACTTCAATTTGCCGCTCAAAACGCCCAAGGAGTATTTGACGACGCCACTGATGTCCAGTTCTTTAATAGCGAATTTAGCTGGACCATTGCCCACCAAGTTGATAGTGAAACCGGCCTTCTTCAAGAACAAACGCAAATCGTATTGTGTATCGACATTCACATTGCGGAAGAGGAAGCGGAAGGTGACTTTGCTAGTGATCGCGTTGATCTTCATCTCCTCGATATCGAAATCGTTTAAGCCATTCAAACGAAAGTTTTCCACAACACCTTGCAATTGTAGAGCCTCAGTGTCGATGTTAACCTCTTTGTATGGGATCTTGAGGGGAGCGAGTGGTGGAATGCCGACACCGGGAAAACCGCATGGCATCTGATCACGAATACCTTCGATAGCTTCGACGGCTGAGCTCGAGAGGGAACGATCAGCTGATAGATGAAAGAAAAGAAGTAAATTCGTTAATAGGAATATTTCATATTTTCGGAACTAAATTTTGTCTGGTAGCATTACATTACAGAAAAGTTCAATTTGTTAACCCTGTAAAAGATTTGTTAAGTTTCTGATTACCACTAAACTTTTTCAAATGAGCTGAGATAAGTTTAGGTTTTCGAAAACAAATGCATCACATGCTAGAACCCCAGGGGAGTTATTATCTAAACATGTCTATACATTTGTCCCTATACGAATCTGATACGTCAAATCCGACTTTTTTTCTTATGCATAACCATCATCACAGCTGATTTGTGCTACAGATTTACCTTTAACTTTATCAAGCTTTCTCCATAAACTTACCGAATGCATCAGGGACTTGCGCAGCTGTCGCCAGGCCCACAATGGCTAAAAGAACGAGTGTTGTCTTCATTATAAATAAGATTAGGTGCTAACTATTTGTGCTACTAACAGTTGCTTAACTGCCTTATATTCGGCAGTGGCGTTGGGTTTTTATAGAATTAACCAAATATCTGTGCTAAAAATTATCGCATTATCAGCCATAAAACATTGGCCAATGAAATCATAACTTTGTATACGTCAAGGTGACCACCTGTTAATGATTTATGGAAAAAGCTCACCTAATAAGTATTATTCTATATCAATACAAGTGTAAGATTCTCTTATCTAGTAAACCATTTGTATAAGTATAAAATATAGATTGAAATATGAGCATAGTTGAATTGAAGTGGGAAGGGTTTAACTGTGCTTAATTTGACGTTTGCTTCAACATTTTTACTTGTTTTACTGCATAAATTAGCTTACGAAGCTAACGGGGTTTTGAGGTTTCGAGGATTCCCTTACAACCTCTACAATCTACTGTGGGCACTGTCGCTAATTTGACTTAAGTTTAAGTTTTCGTTTTGTAGAACTTGATCTTCCCGAAGTTTTAGTTATCTATTTTGTTGCTTTTCGCTTCATGTCGATTGTGCGCATGATTCAATAATAAAAGGATTGCTCAAACAACAGTTTTCTCACTCCCTCTTGACAAAATCAGCTCCCTTAGCAAGGCACTGTGTGTGGGTTCGTGTGTGTGTGTGTGCAAAGCTTTTGTAAGGGAGCTAAGGGAGTGTCAAAACTCGAATGTGACTAATGAGCAAACCTTTAATTATTGAATCATGGATTGTGCGTACATACATGCGCCGGCGTTAAACTCTTGTCGGATGCCTAAAATAACCGCCGAGTCTGAAGGTATCCAATCTCTCTTCATGAGTCGTTATGGTGAACCTCGGGATCCTTGGTAGATTTAGTCTTCTTTATAGATCGCAGATCTACAGATCTATCATCGTCATGAACCGTTTACGTACCCCTGTAAATAGAAATGATCTGTAAACGATAAGCATGGATTTGAGTTGCCTTGTTTCACTGGTATCACTATTTTTGTCAATGCAGAATGGACCCCACTTCCATCGGTAGTTCTGATATCATGTGCTCTACTTTAATTCAATCTATAAAGGTCTACGATTGCGGCCGTTTTGGTTTTTTTAGTGCCGTTACTGAAGCATTCCCCAGTAGTTGGCGTTTATTGGCCGGCGACTTTTCAAACGATTCGAAATCGAAAGAATGTACTCTAGCACCTGCACGAAGTCCAGCGAATTAAAATATAGCGGCTCCGCTGGCCATGACGCTCCACCTGTGAAAGTATACAACTCGGAACCCGTTGGTGGAAGCAGAGGACGAGGTAGGCTCCCAAAGCGATGGAAAGACCAAGTGCCGAGGGACTTGGCTTCACTTGGCATTTCCAATTGGTGTCAGTTGGCACAAAAGAGAAACGACTGGCGTGCTTTGTTGAACTAGGCGAAAATCACTTAGGCGGTTACAGCGCCAAATAAGAAGAAGAAAAGAGCTCAGTGATACAACTCTAGTTGGGTTAGAGGTGCTGTCGCGGAGGGCGCTAAAAGTGGTTTGTTCGCCCGGGAAATTATCCGATAGGGGGTGGTTGATTGTCTCTGGAGGTTGCTCGATATCGGAAGGCCCGCCGTTCGCGACTGAGCCCTATGATGCACCTCAGACTTTCTAGTTTCGGAACGGGTCATTTGACAGGTGGATGTGGCTCTGAAAGTAGAAGGAAAAGGGACTTGGGATTTGCGGCGACAAATGTCAAAATTGAAATTTTCCACGTACAAAATTAGAGCATCCACGAAAAATTAAAATGAAAAAAAAAAAATTGGCGTCGCTACCAGGGTTTTGAAAACATAAAATTTTTTTTATGCTATCACTGAAATTTTGAAAAATTTTACATTTATAAACTCGCTGAGTTGTAGCTGATCAAAGCAAAAATTTCGTCGAATTGTGTGAGTGACACCTTTTAAACTAAATATGTATATCAGATATCACCTGGTTACCAGAAAAATTATATGTAAAATAAATAATCCTGTAAGTTTTTCTTCTTTTCTTTTAACTATTATTAAACAAGGATTCTTAATTATTGCTGCGAAATTGGAAATGTTTTTTAAGTGCTATACATCGATAATTCAGAACCAATATAATCGATACGATGATTTTTTTCAATTTCGCCATATCGATATATCGGAAAGCGATATTTTTGAAAATATCCGCCAAAACTTTTCAGCTCTCACACAGATTTTTTTAGAGCATAATGAACCATATACGTGCTATTACCAATCAAAATTCTAAAAAAAAGCGGATTCTCGGCCCACGCTAATACTTAATAAGCCCCTTTGAAGCAAAAAAAAAAAAACGAGAATCGACTGGTCCAACTAATTCAGGAGGACCCAAAAAAACCTTTTTGTTTTTTTTTTTTTTTTTTGTCAAATAATCAGACATCTATAAGAGTCAAAAAATAACAAGTCAATGATTTATGCTGCAGCTCAATCATTTCAATCCACTCCAGTATGCGATCATGGCAACAACACACGTAGATTACTAACAAACTTTATGCATCGATCTAAATTAATTTCAAGCATTATAATTTGTGGTTTTATTTTATAGTTTTCTTAATTCGCAGCTTTGCAAGTAATTATAAATTATTTGTAGTATATTTTTATAACAAATACAATTGGTAACATTCACGTGCTGATCATACTGATAATGTATGTTGATAATATATAATCTGCCATTTACCTAAATCTAGAAACTATAAATTATTCATAGTTTATTTTAACAAAATAATAAGGCTAACAGGCACGTTTTTGTCACGTTGATAAACGAATTTCATATTTTTTCATATGCTGATTTCGTTTCTACCGAAAAATGCAATAATCTCTTTGCCCTCTACGCAACAAACACTAAGAAGAGGAGGGCGATGAGAAGGCAACATTTTTTGTTGAAACCAGTAGATGCCAATAATTTAATTAATGTATGTACATATCGCACACCTAGATCTAAAGTGCGATCAACTAAAAAAAAAATATTTTGGGCGATTTTTTTTTTTTTTTTTCAATTCATAGGACTCGCATCCAATTAATGGAAATATATTTTTCTTCATGATTATACACATTAACTAAAAAAAACTACTGTTATACCTATTTTTTTATTAATTGCGTTAAATCTGTACGACCCACAAGCCGTTAAATTTCCCTCTCTTAATTTTGAGTTAGCTCAGTTTAGATCTATATAGATGTGCGATATGTATGTTTGTCTTTGTTCTATATAAAAATATGTTAACCAAATCTCGCAGACCATCTTAACGAGAGCCTTAGCTGTAAATTGTGGCAAAAAGATTTATAACTGCGCATTGCAAAAATATCAGACCTCAAACATAAGCAACAATATCATATTTCATCAAGATTGTATCAGAAATTTGTTGGGTAATTGTTCTGAGAATGCATTTTATAATGAAAAGCAAAACAAACTAGGAAAATATGGACCTTTGTTGCTCTTATAAAAAACAAAAAAAAAACTGTTTAATTTTATTTGATTTATTTAGTCTATAGAAATTATTACCCGTACATTAATTATAAACTTAAAATATGTAAGTACTTATGTATATGCTCAATATCAATTATCATCAAAATTTGAAAGCGTTTTATAAAACTCACAGTTGGTAGGATCTTCAGTCCGACAGCGCTCGTAATTCCAGCGGACCGACGATGCACAGTGGTTCGGATCGCAAATCTAGCTGGACGAAACTATTTAAACAAATACTCGTTGATGGATCTTTACACCACTTCTTACCTAGGGGATTTTTGGGTCGCTGATTACGAATCTGAAGTCGCTTATCAAAAATTCAAAATGGCGGATCCAATATGGCGGACGAAAAAAAAAAAAAAATCGCTAGATTTCTATGTAACTGGGTATCTGGGGGTTTTCTGGGTTGCTGATTACGAATCTAAAGTCATTTACCAAAAATTCAAAATGGCGGATCCAATATGGCGGACTAAAACTTAAAAAAATCTGTAGATTTCTATGTAACTGGGTATCTGGGGGTTTTCTGGGTTGCTGATTACGAATCTAAAGTCATTTACTTAATTTACTTCGGAACGAGAATTTTCATCAGATATTTCTTTTAAATTTACTAATCACATAATCACGGACACCTTGTTGTCTTTTAGAAGTTTCAGCAACACTTCTCCAAATGTCAAACAACTCACTTTTTAAGATTTTATTTACCACGACTAAAATTTAAGATCACAGCAAGAAACACAAATAAATTTCAGAAAAAAATTTATAACAGCGCCTAAAGATTTGCATGCCTATTTCAGAAAGCAGAAAATTCGCGAGTTACTATTTTTTTTAACTCTTACATAACCAAAGTTTTTATAACTCCAAGTATTTTTCTGTTTTAACACACAACCCCTCAGCTTTTAAAATATAGTTCTCACATAGTCGGCGTTGACTTACCTTTTTTTGTTTGTTTTCATATGTTAATGCTTTAATAAATGCAATTTCTATTTGCATGTATTGTGAGGAATGTATTTCAAGTACCATTGAGTATTTTAAAAACAAAAAAATTTTGACTTTCGTCCAGCTAG